GGCGGAGCTGGGGGCACGGGACCGCTTATGCACCCGGACGCCGCGGCGGCAGCAGCGGCGGCGGCGGCCGCCGAGCGGTTGCACGCGGGGGCCGCGTACCGCGAAGTGCAGAAGCTGATGCACCACGAGTGGCTGGGCGCGGGCGCGGGCCACCCCGTGGGCCTAGCGCACCCCCAGTGGCTACCCACGGGAGGCGGCGGAGGCGGCGACTGGGCCGGCGGCCCGCACCTGGAACACGGCAAGGCGGGCGGCGGCGGTGCGGGGCCGGGCCTGCACCACGCGCTGCACGAGGACGGCCACGAGGCGCAGCTGGAGCCGTCGCCTCCGCCGCACCTGGGTGCCCACGGACACGCACACGGACATGCACACGCGGGCGGCCTGCACGCGGCGGCGGCGCACCTGCACCCGGGCGCGGGCGGCGGTGGCTCGTCGGTGGGCGAGCACTCGGATGAGGACGCGCCCAGCTCGGACGACCTGGAGCAGTTCGCCAAGCAGTTCAAGCAGCGGCGCATCAAGCTGGGCTTCACGCAGGCCGACGTGGGGCTGGCGCTGGGCACGCTGTATGGTAATGTGTTCTCGCAGACCACCATCTGCCGCTTCGAGGCCCTGCAGCTCAGCTTCAAGAACATGTGCAAGCTCAAGCCGCTGCTCAACAAGTGGCTGGAGGAGACCGACTCGTCCAGCGGCAGCCCCACCAACCTGGACAAGATCGCAGCACAGGGCCGCAAGCGCAAGAAGCGAACGTCCATCGAGGTGGGAGTCAAAGGCGCGCTCGAGAGCCACTTTCTCAAGTGCCCCAAGCCCTCGGCGCACGAGATCACGGGCCTGGCCGACAGCTTGCAGCTGGAGAAGGAGGTGGTGCGCGTCTGGTTCTGCAACCGGCGGCAGAAGGAGAAGCGCATGACCCCGGCGGCCGGAGCCGGCCACCCGCCCATGGACGACGTTTACGCACCCGGCGAGCTGGGGCCGGGCGGGGGCGGTGCGTCACCGCCCTCGGCGCCCCCGCCGCCCCCCCCGGCCGCGCTGCACCACCACCACCACCACACACTGCCCGGCTCGGTGCAGTGACCCCCGCGGGCCGGGCCCCCGCCGGCGCGCGGCGAGGCGCCGCGCGGCCTGAACTCTTTTTGTTCGGTTGCTTTGGATTTTACAAACAGCCCAGAAACTTTCGAACAAAACCAAACACCCGGACGACCCTCTCCGGCGAGCGGCGAAGACGGCCGATAGGGCTGCGTCGCCCGAGCCCCAGGAGAGAGGAGCGAAGATCCGGACCGCGCCAACTCACCCCGGGTATCTTGCCCGCCGCCTGCTCCCTGCCCTCATCCCCTCGACGACCCCCGCCCCTGCCCCCCGGGCTGTTCGGGGCCGGATCCCGGCAGCGGCCTCCCCACAGCGACAGGTAACGCGGTACGGGGTTAGGGATTCCCCGGGAGAGAGGACGAAGAGAGGAGAGTTCCCATCCCTCTCCCCGGCGCGGATGCCCAAGCCTGGGGGTCGAGGTTGGGGGACTGTCACTTTATTCGCTCCACGCCTCTTCTCTCCCATAAGGATGCGCCCCATCCCCCTTACCCTTTCTCCGGGCTTGGTTTTTTACGGTTTTTATTTATTCATGGAGCCTCTCGGTTCCTGGGGTCCTTCTAACTCCGCCCGCGCCCTTAATTTAAATCGCTGTATACTGTATTTATCGGGGGCCCCGGCGGGGAGGCCGCGAGAGCCGCGTCTGTGTATAAAGCAGGAAATAGCCAAAGCTTTAATCTAGCCTAATTTATTTTTTCCCTTTACCTTCCCCTACCCTACCCCAAAAAAGCAAAACAAAAAAACAAAAAAAAATTCGAGTGTTCATTTTTCGTTTCGTTTTATCCGAGCTCCAGCTCGGTTCCTGGCCACACCGGAGGGGTCTGCACTCCCACCCTCACCCCGATGGGAAGGGGCTTCTGCCCCGCTGCAGACTGACCACCGCACAGCAGGGACCCCGCTCCCCGCGGGGCCCTGCCTCCCTGGCCACAAACAAACGAAACTTGGAAAAGTTGGAGATATTTTTTAACCAGCTGTAGAAATAAGCCGTTCCCTGAGAACCTTCTGCCTAAGTCCCCGCAGCTTCCGTCTGCTCCTTTCCAGCCCCCTGGGATGCAGGATGCTCGGGGAGGCCTGGAGAGCAATTCCCCAAGTTTGGGGTGAGGTGGGAACCATGTAAATATGTGAGATATGTACACACTGGTGGGGAGAAGAAACATTTTGTGCTTGGCTTTTATTTTTGGTTTCCCGGGTTGCCCTCCCTCCCCATCCTAAAGGATTTTGTACTCTGACTAATCTGAAAAAGATATTTTAATATGATTTCCAGATTTCTGACCCATCTCTATTTATTTTCTGGATGTGTTTGGAGCTTCCCCCTTCTCCATTTCTTGTTCTGTTTGAATTTAAATTTTGTTATTTTATTTTCATTTTTTGGAACAATGTTTTGATGCATTCTCTTTGTATCTTTATTGCAAAAAAATGTAGACTGGGAAGTTCCCTTTATATTTATGTTATAGTAAATATTTTATTACTCACATAAACATGTACCCCAGGGCCGTGTCCTGTGCTCTTTACTACCAGGGCTGGGTTGGTTTGCGGGTGCAGTGATGGGATACCCTGGCTTATCTCCCCTCAAGTTCTGGCCTCACTATCTTGGAGGAAGGTGACCACACAGACCTTCTTCCAGGCCAGTATCAGGACCGCCTGTTACTTGAGCAACAGTTGGGCCCCAGCCTCAGGTGAGTGAGGTTAGGGAAGATGCAGCTGCCTCGTGTCCCCTTCCATAAACAGACTATTCTGAGACCTGACCAGGGCCTAGGACACCCTCACGGAATTGGGTCTGCCATTCCTCAGGCACAACTCGACTGCTCTTCTCGGCCAAGGAAGAAGCCTGCTTCCACCTGGACCACCAGCCTGGCGTCTCTGTACGCTCCACCCGGCACCCCAACTCCTGATTTTGGTTTCACTTTGTACTCTGTGTGTCGGGTCCAGGCCAACTTCATCGTTCCGGGTTCTGGGGCAGCTGGAAGCCAAATCAGACCCCACCAGCCCACCCTAGCTGGCTCTCCACCGGCAAACAAATGGTACCCAAACCTATGTGGATCCACTGGTAGTTCTAACAGCATAGACAGCGGCCCTGTGGGAGTTGAGTCGGCCTGGGGAGGGAGCCCTGCCTGTCTGCTTGGGCAAAGCCAGTCCTACTTCTCTGCAAACAAACCACTGCCCCAACTTGTTTTGGGGAGGAGGGGGCACAACTGTAAAAGCCTTGCCATCTCCTCTCCAGGGGTGGGTACCCAGAGGACCTTCCCCACTCCCCAGCCAGGAGTGATGCATATGCCTATGGGAGGACTCCAGGGCTGTGCAGTCGTGACCTGGGGAGGACACAGACATTCTCAGACATCCCCTTCTCATGCCTTCAGCAGCAACATCCCCCGACTCCAGAGTCAGGATGGTGGAGGCAGGTCTGGGTTCTAGGGCCAAAGCCCAAGACTACCTGTGTCCCAGTCGAGAACTTCCTTTTCCTTTAAAACAGCTGTTTCCTCCGTAGATGCAGCTCTTGTCCCTTCTCAGGAGAAATCCTCAGGTTTCTCTTACTCTTCGTGCAGACAAAGCTTGAAGTCACATCGCTTGACTGGGGAGAAAGTTGTGTCCCTTGTGAAGGGTGTATGTGTGGCCTTCTCCCACCAGGGAAGCTGCCCAAGTCCAGCCTGGTGAGAGGCCTCGGCTCCAGCCAACAGCATCCCGGGCACCCAGAGGGGTGTTCCCAGGCCCCCAAGTTGGCTGTCACTGGCCAGGCTGCGTCCTCAGAATGACTGTACTGAGCTGAGAGTTCCTGGTGACTTTCTGGGCTCTGCCCCTCAACCTCGGGGGAATTACTTCTACAAGTACAAAAGCCGCCATGGTTTTCAAAGGCTCGCTCACTGCTCCTTTTTTTTCCCCTTCAGTCCAGCCTAGTGAGCGATTAGCCCTATAATTGGCACCTGTGTCCCAGCCATTCCCTATACTGGCAGGCCAGTGAGCCCCCTTAAAGAGGAGGCCAGGAACTTACCAGGTGGCCAGGTGACAGCGTGGCCGGGAGCCGCCAGCCACCCTACCTTGGCCTCCCATTTCCTGCTCCACTAATTTCAGAACTTTGAAGCAGTCCCACACTCTCTGCCACACTCCCTCCTTATTTCTCCATTCCTGGATGTGTCCCAGCCTCAGGGCCCTGAAATGGAAGCGAATGAAGCTCAGAGCTCCCTGCCGCCAGCGCCGCCCTGAACTTCAGCAGGTTTGGAGGTTGGAAAGGGCGGCCGGGAAGACCTGGCTTTTCACTGGCCTCTGCCTGCAGCTGACATCAATTGATTGATTGATTTCCTAATTGTCTGCTTAATCCTATACAAGAGGGTGGATTTATTTAAGCGAGTCAACTCAAAAACAGCAAAACAATGTGGCCTCCCAAGAACCAGCAGCAGATGAGTAGAACAAAAAAATGAAAAAAAGTGGAAGAGGGACAGAAGAAAATAATATTCCACTTTGTGAGGATTTTGCTTAATGAGACGCCAGCCTGGGACAGCTACTCAGTGACCAACCCCTTGGTCACAGAAGACCCCAGGGCTCCTTCCCCCAGTGTCCAGCCTGGGGTGATGGTAGGAACCGCAGCATATTTGACTGTATAAGGAGCAGCCATAGGGAGAGAAATATTTTGCCCTGGAGTCTTACTCCCTGGATAGAATACAATTTAGGAAAGACACAGTCAGCTGTGAACTTGACTGCGATTTCTCCATCCCGTGTGTATGTGGATACACAGGCTCACACCTGAGAGCCTTAGACTTCCTTTCATTCAAGAGAGACAGATGTCCCTGGCATCGACCTCCAAGGAAGCCCCAGGTTTCCCTAACGGATTTGGAATTTTCTGATTCCATCTCCCTCCCCTTCTCATTTGAACAAAATTATTTTTTATGATCATGCAGCCACAGATTCTGATAGTTAGAGCTTCACTTTCCCCATGTGAACCTCTGTGAATTGGTGTATGAATTTGTATACGTACCACTGTGCCTGCAAATCCGTAGCTGTTCCCAGGGATAGGAGGGGGGAAAGGAAGTCCATGCTACACTGCTCAGGCTTTGATTTGCAGGGCCGGCGGGGGCGGGGAGCAGGGTTGGACAACACAAGAAGAAGGAAGGTGGCCATGGTGGTCACCTGTGATCATCAAAGCAAACCCCTGCCCTAAAGCTCAAGAACACTGCTATGCTCCCCCACCTCCTTCCCCAGGAAGTTGCACTAGCTTATATGTTGTGTGGCTTAGGTCCTGTGCAATCATCCCTTGACCCAGGACTCATTTGGGCATCCACGGGACTAGCTGACCCCCACCCACAGCTGCCCACTTAGAGCTGTTTGGAATCAAGTCTACTCTGGAGAGGCTCTGGGCCTGCATGTAAGACGGTCAAGCCCCTAGTGACGCACCCAGGGCCCAGGCTTCCCCAGCAAGGCTTGAGCTCCAGAAAGGAGACCCACCTGAGCAGGGGGCAGAGAAAGAGGAGGTCGGTTATCTGGCCCAGCTGCTCCCCCTAAGCTCAGGGAAGAGGATTCATCGGGAACCTCCTGCTTAGTGACCAAAGCCAGAGGAGCCGTCAATCTTGTCCCTGCTGGGCATTTTTGAAGGCCCCAGAATTAGTGTTTGGCCTGCCGTTCAGGGCTCCCCTTGTCGCCTTTGAGACCTCCATGTGGGAGGACTGCCCTCTATTGGTTCCTGAGCTGAGACATGGCAGCAGCCACTAGGGCCACCTCGCAGCTGAGCACCCCCCCAAAAAATCAGCTTCAAGTTGGCTGCTCTGTGGGGGCTGCCAGGTAGAACAGAGGCACCTGTCACCTCCAAGGAAGCAATCCTGCTTCACACACACACACAGGCTTGCCCACGATCCTTCCTTCTCCATCTACCGCCACACCCATTCCCACAGCCATTCTCGGAAATTCGCCAGCACAGCTATCTCCTCTGTCTCTCTCCCACTCACACTCATCCCCATCACTCTTCCTCTCAACCAGCTAAAACCCCAGTGCATGCTCTCGCCATCTTGCTCACTCACACACATGCTAACTCACTCGTGGTCACACCCATACCACTGTTTGGCTGTCCAATACCTGCTTCGTGGTCTTTGGCACTGAGCTCTCCACAGTCACTGGGCACCTGGCACCTGTAGTATATGACTTAACACGCACAACCATCCTTTGCAGCATTTGACAGGGTCCCTTTCTTTCAGGCTTTCCAATCACTTACCCCACAAACCGCTTTCCAAACACATCCCTGCCCATCATTGTTCTCAGCTCCTCCCAGATCTCTCCTGCTCCCTTCAGATAATTAAAGTTAGGCTGTGTGTTTGTATGTATGTGTGATCTTATTTTTTAAACACACACCCCCACACGTACATATGCGTGTATATATACAAACACACACAGCAATTAGATCTACCCCTGTCTTGTGCAGTAAAACCTCAGCTATGCACATGTCCCCACATCGTCACCCGATGAACCCAGCATCACCTAGTCACGGGCTCCTGATGTCTCACATACACACACACACACACACACACACACACACACACACTGGCACTTTCACACAATTACACCCATCCCCAGCTCCCTGGTGTTTCTCCGGGGGCACAATCCACCTCCCACCCACCTCCAGGGCATCTGAACGGGTTCCGCTCAGATGAGCTAACTACCAGAAGGGCCCTTCTTCAGCCCCCCCAAACACACACACAGTGGACATGTCTCTGGCTGAGCCTGACTAGGGTGGGTCTGGGTATTATTAGGCTGCAGAGACAGCACGGAGGCATATGGTCTCATACACAAGAAATAATGTTCATGTTAAATCAGACCTCATGCATAATGCATGGTGCCTGATCTCACATTATTTTGGGTGTTCGTCAAAATCAGTGTTCTTTCTTGTGAGGGCTTCTGAAAAGAAGGGGAAAAGGCGTTTGCTAATCGCACCTGCAGCCTGGACTCAGGGAGCCGGGAGGGCCT